CTGAAGGATGAGGAGTGAAGGATGGAGGAGAGGCAAATTGTGTTTCATGTGCCAGAAGTAACCCAGAAAGCACTTCCATAACTCACTGCATAGGTTCTCCAAGAAAACCTGGTGAAGGTCACTTGCATCTGGGGTTTGTGAAACTTAGGGCAATGAAGTGTACAAATTCAGCACTCTCATTGCACTCTGGGGGCTCTTAATGGGGAGCTTTTGTGTTGTGGGGTTTGTTGGGTTTCTCCATGCACACATGTGAAGTAACATTTTATTTTAATTCCCCCAAGTTGTCTTTTTCTTTCTCTCTCCATTTTTACCCCCCTGTGGTTTTAATTACCTTAGATTTCAGAAAGTAACTGGTCCTGCTTTAAACTCCTCTTCCCTCACAAGCCCCTGTGGTTCACACCTGTGTTTCGGTGTTCAGCTGCCTGGAGAGGAATTGTTGCCTGTGGACTCAAAGATTTTGATGCTTTTACCTTTTTCAGCAACGTGGTGTTCTGAAAGTAACCTCAACTCTAATAAGATGTTCATCCCCTAGACTGACTGAGGGGGTGGTGTAAATCTGTGAGTGGAAATGTGACTTCTTAAAAATCCTTTTCCGCTGTTCCTCTTGGGGTTCAGTTCCTCCTTTTTTTCCCTTCCTGTCTGTCTTGACGAGCAGGGAGGGCCTAGTGCATTGTAGAATTGATTTGCAAGATGAGCTTTCAGTCTTGAGAGTTATTTTAAACTTTATTGTTAAAAGTCTTTGGGAATTAAAATTAAAGGTTATTTTTTGTTATCAGGTGAGCAAAATCACTTTTCCTCTCAGTTTTTACTTTTCTATGCCCAAGTGCCAATTATTGAAGTCTTCAGAAACAGTCTGGCGGTGTCAAAGTGTCCAAAGCACAGCCAATAAACACAGGTCTCCTCTCACAATCTACACGTACCTCTGTCCTCCGGAGAGCGAAGGATTCTCATCACTAAGTGGGCTCAGAGATGGAGGCATTGCACAAACTCTTCTGGGTCTAATCGCTGAGGGTTGACTCCAGAGAACCATCCACTCCAGGCTGATTATCTCTTCTACTGAGCCCCAACTACACTTTTTTCCCATCTCTGTCTGAAGAGCATGCAGAGCCAATAAAAGGAAGCTAAATGACACTCAAATGAGAGAAAAAAATATACTACTTTTGTTTTTCAATTAAGAAAAGACAACTCCCAAACAATGCTAGGGTTTCTCTGGCGCTGAGGCGCGTGCAATCGCCCTAAATGGGCAAAAAAAGCAAGTAGAATCTTTCTCAGCAACAATGGTTTAGCTTTTGGTTCTGGCTCTTCCAGAGCTGGAGCCAACTGGTAGATAATATTGGGGAAGATCTCCAAGTAACTCGCCCCGCCCCAATCTCCCGAAAGATGCAGCTTTTCCATTGTCTTTCTTCAGCTTTCTGGTTCCACATACCTAAGAAACATTGAAAACTCACTTGCAGACCAAAACCCTGCAGCACCCTTTATTACAACAACAACAACAACAACAACGTGAAGTCCAGTCTCAACTCTCAGCATCTGGCCTCAAAATTATGTTCAGCAAATGGGTGAAAGTGAGCAGAAATACGTCTGGCTGAGGTTGGTGCTCAGCCAAAACAGATGCATGAAAGACCTTCCATGAACATTACCCATGCCGTGCCACATCTGGATGGGTTGGTGTTGCCTGGCTGCCCTTGTCACAGCTGTTTGACTTGGTTGGACAACTCTCTTTTGACACCTGGGATGGTGTGGGTTTGTCTCATTTTGTGCTGATCTTGGGTCAAGCTGATCTTTAAAGTTTGGCATTTTTGTTTTCCCAGCAGGAGGTTTGGCTTGGAAAGGCTGGGAGCAAAGTTTTGAGGTGAATGGAACTGATTCAGATCAAATGCTGGTATTGTACAGCATCTTTTTTTTTTTTTTTAATGTTATTTTCTATCTTAAGACATACAACACTGATCCCTCTAATGCAAGCATGAAATGGGTTGCTTGAAGGAGGGAAGAGATGGTTTGAACTATAAAGAATAAGCAGACAACATTATCTTAAGCTTTGATGGTCAGAAACTTGTGCAAGCCCCCAGGCATGTCTGACTTTACCAACTCTATCAGTTGGTCTAAAAAGATATCACCTCCTTGCTTCACTTGGCATGAATGAAGTGATTTATGGAAACTGGAGGAAAACATTCTTTACAATTCCCATTGGCAGGCCAGAGGAGAAAGGGATAAAATAAAACTTTATGTAGCCAAGAGTCTAGCCGTGCTTATTTGAGCCCTCCCCTTGGTGGAATAAAACCTCCATGCTGAGGCTGACATCCTGCTTTGGTGCTTTAGGGGTTAAACCCTCTTCAGAGAGCATTAGTGGGGAGAAAGGAAACTGAAAGCTGTGCTGAAAAGCTAGTAGGTGAGACTGGGAGTTGCCTGAAATATTTTATCTTTTAAAAGGGCAAGCTCTGAATCAAGCTACGTGGAGATGTAGTGAGATGCGAAAGCTTGACAGTCACACATACAGGAAACCTTGAATTATCACTGAGCTTCCTGGAAAATGACGTCGTGAGGCTATCGTAGTATTTACTTGGTGATGATCCCACAGTTCTTACTGACCAGCTTTGAAAACGTGTTCTGGAGCAGCACCTCAGACTTGGGTGGAAATGGGCTCGGTTGGGTTTGTTGGAAACGCTTGGCAGCGTCACCTGGCAGTGATGGATAACTGAGCACAGGGAACGGAGCCTGGGCTGTTTTCTTTATCATGGGGGAAAAGGTTTGCTTTGTGCAGGGAATGTTTTTATACATTCCTGGCAGAGCTGACAAACTTCAAACTCTTTTAGTCCCCAAGCCATTTAAAAATGTCTTCTTTAAATACAGCATTGTGGAAGGAGCCCTGGTATGTCTTTAGGTCGGAGTCTGTCTTTTTTCAGGGGGAGGAGATAGCAGGAAGGGATGGAAAGCTGCTCATCTCCTCCTAACCCCTTGCTGCTTTTAAAACGTGCTGGAATTGGGCAGGGTTTTTAATTCTTGCTAGCCTGATCCTCCCTTTCTTGCTCTTTTCTGTCTGAAGTGAAAGGAAACATGTCTGCTGTGAGCACTGGAATAGCAAAGCCCCCCTCTTGCACCCCAAAGCCATGTGAACAGCTCCAGAGGAGTCCATGGCAGTGACACCAGGGAGCAGAGAAAAGCCAGACTTGGGCAGTAGCGCTGAATTTCAGAGGTTTTGTTCACCCGAGATTCCAGGCACTGGAATTGCTGGTAGCTGGCCAAGGAGCTTGGATGGCAGCCTACCTGTTCTTCAGCTCTGCTCAGCCTGCTCCCTCCCCCCGCCTCGCTTGTTTTAATTGCATAATATGCTAGAAAATTATCTGGATTTGAGGCTTATTTTTAACCAGAAGAGGCTCACTTCACCCCATCTGGTTTTGGATTTACCACCCAGCAAATGCTTTTTGAAACTCTTGTAGCACTGAAATCCTGACTTCTTTAGTCCCCTCTTCTGCTTTCCAAGGTTCTCTTTGCTCTTCAGTGTTTGTGAGTCATTTTTGGTGATGTTTAACTACATTGTCTGTCTGCTGAACTGGTGTGCGGCCATCAAACTGTGTTAGACCTGCCTAGTGCAGTTGTTTTGCAGGCACTAATCCCACTGGGTGGATTGGGAATTGTACTCAAATAAGGAAGGCAAATTTTGTCTCCCAGATGATAGCTGCAAATTGTGAGACTGGTCAGGTCTGGGGTAAAAATCTATATGGCCATTGCAACTTCTTTCAGAATACCTGTGGCTAGAAAGCCTCTTCCACTCCTTTTTCTCTTTTTCTTTTTCTCTTTTTCTTTTTCTTTTTCTTTTTCTTTTTATTTTTATTTTTATTTTTATTTTTATTTTTATTTTTATTTTTATTTTTCTCTTTTTTTTTTCTTTTTTTTTCTTTTTCTTTTTCTTATTTTTCTTTCTCTTTTTCCCCTCTTTTAACAAGGCAGACTTCTTCATGCCAGAAGAATTTGTTAAACAGAAGGAGGGATACAGGAATGAACAGTGAGCTCCTTCATATTAAAATAGTGAGTTGGGTTAGAGCTCCAGCACCTCACCACTCTACCTGGGAAAATGAGAGAGCATAACATTAGGTCATGCTGCTGTCACAGCACAGCAACTCCTTCATTCCGCTGCGTTTGGGGGAATCTTGGTGTCACAAAAATAATGGTGACAAAATGAGGTTGGGACTGTGCTGTGCAGAGGAGCATTTCCAGGTGCTCTGAAACATCCTGGAAGAGATGGCACTGGGGACTGAACTGCCCTACTTAATCTTAGCTCAGAAATTATTTATAATGCGGGGCAAGTTTGGTAAAATCGCTTTTGTTTCCTTCAAAATCTGCCATCCGACCAGCAGCAGAGTGTAGTGCAGAGAGTGGTCTTGGGGATTAGACTAGAAGACTTGACAGATTGTCTTCTTCATCTGTAATTTATCTAATTCTGAGTGTAATAACTGCATTTCCTGCTCTGGTAGTTTAGTCCTTAGGCAATCAGCTAAATAAACCCATTTGTGTATATCCTGGTGTACCAAAGGGCTGGATCTCCCAACCTCACTGGGGAAGTTTCTCTCAACACACAATTGCTTGAGCCTCGCTTCCCTTCCCCCGTGAACAAACTTTTGAATAAAAAGAGGAAATTCATTGTGAGAACTTCGGTGCTTTACATTTGTATTCCCAGGCATAGCGCCGCCTCAGCCGGGGAATGTAAGGAAACGTTCAGTACAGTGCCTGTGGCTTGTGCTGCTATGGACAGGTATTTGCTTAATGTAAGGAAGAGGGAATTTGCTGCCAAGCATGCCAGATCTTGAGTATTATAGATGCTGTCCGAATTCCTGCTTGGAATTCACCAGCACAGCCGTGCCTAAGTATGGGTGGGCCAGAGCTCTGTGTCAGGGCGGCTGCTGCGTGCTCGTCACGCTGCTGTGGGCCAAGGCCGTGTAATGGATGGGGAGAGATGTGCACCTGCTTTGCTGCCTTCATCAGTCTCCTCTCTTCCCTTGCAGATATATGTTGGGGAAAGGAGGAAAGCGGAAGTTTGACGAGCATGAAGATGGGTTGGAAGGCAAAGTGGTGTCTCCCACTGACGGTCCCTCTAAGGTGTCTTACACCTTACAGCGTCAGACTATCTTCAACATTTCCCTTATGAAACTTTATAACCACAGGCCATTAACCGAGCCAAGCTTGCAAAAGACAGTTTTAATTAACAACATGTTGAGGCGAATCCAGGAAGAACTCAAACAAGAAGGCAGCTTGAGGCCCATGTTTGTGGCCGCTTCGCAGCCTGCCGACCCTCTCAGCGACAACTTCCGCGAGGCGCAGCCGGCGTTCAGCCACCTGGCCTCGCCGCCCCTGCTCCCCGCCGACCTGGTAAGCACTATGCCCCTGGAGTCCTGCCTCACCCCCGCCTCTTTGCTCGAGGACGACACTTTTTGCACTTCCCCGGCCGTCCAGCACGACGGCCCGACGAAGCCAACACCTCCTGCTCTCCAGCCAGTAAAGGACAGCTTCTCCTCAGCCTTGGACGAAATCGAGGAGCTTTGTCCAGCACCTACCTCCGCAGAGGCAGTAGCAGCTGAATCGGCAGCCGGCGACCCTAAAGCCCAGCCCGGCGAGTCCAACATCATCCACAAGCCCGAGGGCCTCCCGGAGAGCAGAACGGCTGAACCCAAACTCATGGAGCCCCTGCCTGGCAACTTTGAGATCACAGCTTCCACAGGTTTCCTCACAGACTTGACCCTGGATGACATTCTGTTCGCTGACATTGATACGTCCATGTATGATTTTGACCCCTGCACGTCTGCCACGGGGGCTGCCTCAAAAATGGCTCCTGTCTCAGCAGATGAGCTCCTAAAAACTCTCGCTCCGTACAGCAGTCAACCAGTAACTCCAAATCAGCCTTTCAAAATGGATCTCACAGAACTGGATCACATCATGGAGGTGCTTGTTGGGTCTTAAAAATATTAGAAATATAGCAACTTTTGTTTTGTCTTTTTTCTTTTTCCTTTTTTTTTTTTTTAAGTACCAGTATATACACTTGGTAGTATTTCCATAGTTCCTCCCAGCCCCGATTCACAGCACTGTGCATGCATCCTTGCTTGCCTTTTTTGAAAAGAAAAGGATCACACTAGTTTTTGCTTCGAGCAGAGTTGGAGTGCCTTCATCCATGTATGACCACTTCTAATGTATTTTTTTTAAAGTGGTTCCTCAAGGAAGACTGAATATCCTGGTATAGGAAAGAATATGTATTGTAGATAATGTTATGTTATTACAAAAAAAAAAAAAGAAAAAAAATGGGAAAAAAAAGGTAAAAGCTAAGCACAAGGATTATGTTGGGGAAAGCTGTAAATTGCATGTGCATACTTGTCTATTTTTTCTATAAGTTTTATTGCAAGAGGTAAAAAATTTTATTATTTAGATAATCTCAATACCATTTTAGCCCTGTATAGGTTGACTTTAGCAATTCAGCCTTTTGGAGGCATTAACCTGCTCCTCTTTAAGTGTTGCATTTACATGGCTGTTTAGAAACTGCTGCCCAAATTTATTTTATATTTTTGTACAGATTCTGCAGTTTATGGTATTGTTTTTTCTAAAAACAAATGCTGTTTATACACACAAAAAAAAATAGCTATTTTGATAGGATTTGCTCACATAGTTCCTGCATAATTCAGATGTACAAGAACCACTTGTACTTTTATACAGAGTTGTAATGTTTTATATGTGTATGGTGCAAAGAGAAAATTGGATCAAATAAGCCTGCAGTCGGTTTCCCTGAATGCAAACAACAAAAAAAAAAGTGCTTTAAGAAAGGGCTGGGAGCTGCTTCTGCCGGAGTTTCACAAGTGTTTGCTCCCTGCTGTACCCACTGCGCACTACTGTGATTCCTGAAACTTAGAGCCATGTCCTTTTCCAACATGTACGTGAAGCAGTTGGCAGGAAACAGTTGTGGAACTTCACCCCCGGAGGTCCTGCCAGACCCCCATCCCGCCTGACGGAGCCTTAACCCGGCGGAGATCGGCACCTCCTCGCCCGGAGCTCCTGGGAATGCTGTGGGGGGAGCGCCGTGCCCGGAGCCCACTGAGAGCTGCTGCCTGTGGCATCTCCCTGACAGAGCCCACCAAGAGAGAGTCATCCTCCCTGGGCATCCTCCTGACAGAGCCCACCCAGAGTCATCCTCCCATGGCACCTCCCTGACTGATGGGCACAGGCAGAGAGCGGGGCTGGGAGCATCCGCTCGCCCTTTCTTGGAGCATTTCTCCTCCCCTCTCCCACCTCACTGTGCTAAGTGCTGAAAAAGGCAGCTTCAGTATTCCTGCAGTGAAGCTCATCTCGTACCTGCACTGGATGGACGTGCTTTGGTATCCATTGCTGTCGAAACTGGAGCCGGTCGTGTGACATCACTTGGCATCTCGTCTAGAGTTGGGTTCTTGTATCAACTGTGTTCCTGCTTTACACTTTATAGACCCGTTTTACAAGGAATATACAGACACAGCTTTCTATGCATGGTCCCCCTCCCCATAACACCTGAGAAGTCTTCTTACTGCACCAATGGCTATTTTTATTTTTTTTCCCTGAGTTCGTTGTGGTGTACATTTAATTTAAAAAGAAAAAAAAAAAACATTTGCAATGTATCATGCCTATTGCTGAAGTTGCTATGGCATTTTAGTTTTCCAATGGTACTTTAGTTGTCGAGTGCCGGTTACAACCTATATTGTTGACATGCCTATGGCTTCTTTAGGAATAACTTTTATATTTATTTAAGAAATTTTAAATTATGTTTTACGTCATTTGGCAATATTCAGTCAATTCTGCTCCCTTCTTGTCATGGACGAAATTGGGTCTTGCCTGCCTTTTGAGGAGGCGGCTTTTTATAAATTGGCACTTTAAAACAGGCCATATATATTTATTAGTGTATAGATAGATGTAACATAGATATGCACACAGACACAGGATGAGAGCAAACACATTTTTGCAATGAAGGAACTCCTAATGGAAATGAAATGCATCATGTACAGCTGCGAAAGGCGCTGCTGGCTCCCAGTTCATCTGTCAGTGAGAGACAGGGCTGGGGAGGAGGGGGCACTGGCCCAGGGGGGTGGGTTTGCTTTCTTCTTTTTCCCAGGCTGAGCTCCGTGAAGCACTGGGGTGCTGATGGATTTGCAGTCATTACACAGACTAAAGACAAAAGGAAATTATTGCTTCAAACGGAGAACCATTGCCCAAGTGTAGCTTTAGAGGGAGCAGGGGCAGGGAGGGCGGGGAGCGGGGGGACAGCTCCAGCCCCCAGCCAGCCCTTGTTCCACAGCAGCTCTCTGCCCTTGCAGGAGAACCCTCGAGTACCTGGAACACAATCCTGCACAAACCTGCAACAGGCACTTGCCTTACCATGGGTAAAAAGTCATTTGCAGGACGCTGGAGCTGCCTGTCTTTTGGGATTGCTGAAGTATTGACACCTGCATGAATACCACCTGCTAGGCAAAAGCTCCCTGATATCAGTGCCCTTCTCAGAGACCACTGAAGCTTTTGTACCCAGAGCTGAGCTCTAAATCCAGTTTGCCACTTGGGCAGTGTCTGTGGCTCCTTGGTGCTGAAGCGCATGTCCTGGGGCAGAATCCCTACAGGAATCCCACAGGACAAAAACCTACTTGATTGGTGGGACTCAGCAGAAGGTTGGGAAGGCTGGTGCAGGCCTGGGAAGGAAGGGCTGAGCTGTGGCTTTCCCCCTGCACAGTCACTGACTCTCTAGCTGGGCCTGTGCTGCGGTCCCAGCAGCAGCCAAGCATGGAATTTCTCTGAGACCTACACCAGGGATGGAGATTGACATTAACGTGCAATGAAGTGACAAGATGGGAGCAGAATAAGAGGGCTTTGGATTTGAAGTGATTTTTTTTTCTTAAATTATTTATTCTTTTTTTTTTTTTCTTCTGTAAATATATTTATTTTATTGTGAAGCTAACAACATCTGGATTGTAACATGTACAGAATGTATGGTAGGAATGTATCCTCTTGTAGGAATGTAAATCTGTATGAAAAAGGGTATGGGAGCCAGATTCAGAAAGAATTAATTGAGTTCCAGTCAGGATATGCATGGATCACAGGATTTTTTTTTTCCCCCTATACTCTTTTTCTAATATGGGTCTGGTTGTTTGAAATATGCAAAAAAAGGTATGGAGGAGGGACAGGGTTATGTTCAAACTGAGTCCCAATCAGGCTCCTACCCCCCACTGGCTGCTGAGAGGGGCCTCCCTTGGCACGCTCCTGGAATCTGCCACCGAAGGCAGGAGCAGATGCAGCCATCTCCATCCTGCTGCCTGCGAAAGGTTTAGAAAAGAAATTTTATTTTTTCCCTTATTTTTTTTTAAACACGCATGGGAGGCCCAGCAGAATTCCCTGGGCCAGGTAATTCGGTTTTTCTGGTAAGAGCCTGGGTAATTTAAAACTGATGATTTTGAATCTAAAGTTTACACTTTATTACTGTTAAATTGAGTATCTAGCAATGGGTCCTGTCTGACAAACGGTTTAATTCATTCTGGCATGTTTTGAACTTTTTGTTCTTGTTACAGGGTTTCTTTTGGTTTGGTTTTGTTCTTTTTTTTTCTCCTCCAACCCCCAATGAGGCTTCAGTATCCTGCTTCTGTGCAAGTTGCTTTTAATATTCTATTAATTAATGAGACTGAACATTTTAAAATAAATTAGTTATTTTTAAGCACTTTTTTCTTTTTCTGAAAATAAGCCTAATGCAAGTTCTGGAACCTCTTTGAAAACACAAATTGCAGATAAAATCCCAACCTCAAATCCTATCTTAGTTCTGAACGTATTCCATACTAGTGCCTGCAAAGGCCAAGATTCTGGAAAAGGTGTAAATAGTGTGACATGTTCAGTGCATGGTTGTTTGAACAGGGCTTGTTATTGTCAAAAAAAAAAAAAAGAAAAAAAAGAAAAAAAAGGGAAAAAAAAAGAAAAAAAGAAAAAAGGCTGTATTTCCCCTTCCCCTTCCACAGACCTTAGAGCTGTGCCTTTTCTATGCAATATTACAGACATCTGAAACCAGATTACTGTATTCACATGTAGGTATGGGCTGTAATCAAACAAAAAATACAAAAACAATTGGACAAATGTACATGGAAATGAGCAGTCTTACTTTTGTAGTTTTATATTATACAATAAACAATTAAAATAAAAGCCGGCTCTGTTCTTTCCCTCCACGAAAGAGGGCGGTCAGGGGAAGACGAGACCCCGCGAGGGGTGCAGGAGGAGGGGTGGGAGGTGGCGAGGGACAGGGGAGGGACAGGGAGGGGACAGGGAAGGGACAGGGAAAGGAACAGGGGAGGGACAGGGGAGGGACAGGGAAGGGACAGGGCAGGGATAGGACAGGGACAGGGCAGGGAGCGAGGCCTGCTCCTGCCGCGGGGCTTCCCGGGGAGCGGGATCTGCTCGCTGCCACCACACGGAGCCCTTCAGGCCATCAAATCCCAGCAGGAAACACCTGATACCTTCACCAGCGCTCGGTTTATCAGTGCCCTCCTCCCCTCCCCGCTCCTCCGGGTGCCCGGTGGTTGCTCCCAGGCCCAGCCAGGAGGGAGATCTCGCCTCCAGCCTTTTGTGGATGCGGTGCTCAGCTGGTGAGCCGCCCCTCCCCTCCCACGGGAGCACGCTGCTCCATTTTGGATCTCCGGAGAGCCGGGAGCCGGCGGGACGGGCGGCGGGCTGTGCCCGTGCCCTGCCCGGTCACACGGCGGCCCGGGCTCCGCACCGGCTGCCGCCGGGCACCACGGGCGCCAGGAACGCACAAAAAGGAGAAGCGGGAGAATTAAAGGTGCCCCCGGGATTGGGTTTTCTGTCTGCTCAGCCGCGGCTGCGGAGCGAAGCCTTCCCCGCGGGATCAGCCCCCGCACGGGGCGCCCATCCCGGGCAGGGCCGAAGGAAACGCCGCTGCTGCACTCCCGAAGCTGCCCCGGTTTTGTTGCCGCCTACCTTTGAAGAGTTGATTTCCTCACTTGTGGCTTGTCAGTGAGAGCTGCCTCAGCGCAGAACGCCCGGGCTGCGTGCAGAGCCCCTCCTGAGGGGAGCAGCTCCCTCCTCAGCGAGGGCAAACCACCGCTCTGGGCGTTTACGGTGCGGGGAGCTGCATCTCCCCTCAGGGTGTGTCCCGAGCCCCGGGCAGCTCCGGGCATTTCCCCTCAGGGTGTGCCCGAGCCCAGGGCAGCTCCGGGCATCTCCCCTCAGGGTGTGTCCCGAGCCCAGGGCAGCTCCGGGCATCTCCCCTCAGGGTGTGTCCCGAGCCCAGGGCAGCTCCGGGCATTTCCCCTCAGGGTGTGTCCGAGCCCAGGGCAGCTCCGGGCATTTCCCCGCGGGCAGCCCGAGCTCAGGGCAGCTCCGGGCATTTCCCTCAGGGTGTGTCCCGAGCTCCGGGCATCTCCCCTCAGGGTGTCCCCAGCCCAGGGCAGCTCCGGGTATTTCCCCTCAGGGTGTTCCCGATCCCAGGGCAGCTCCGGGCATTTCCCCTCAGGGTGTGTCCCGAGCCCCGGGCAGCTCCGGGCATCTCCCCTCAGGGTGTGTCCCGAGCCCAGGGCAGCTCCGGGCATCTCCCCTCAGGGTGTGTCCCGAGCCCAGGGCAGCTCCGGGCATTTCACCTCAGGGTGTGCCCGAGCCCAGGGCAGCTCCGGGCATCTCCCCTCAGGGTGTGTCCGACCCCAGGGTAGCTCCGGGCATTTCCCCTCACGGTGTGTCCGAGCCCAGGGCAGCTCCGGGCATTTCCCCTCAGGGTGTGTCCGAGCCCAGGGCAGCTCCGGGCATTTCCCCTCAGGCAGCCCGAGCCCAGGGCAGCTCCGGGCATTTCCCCTCAGGGTGTGTCCGAGCCCAGGGCAGCTCCGGGCATTTCCCCTCAGGGTGTGTCCGAGCCCAGGGTAGCTCCGGGCATTTCCCCTCACGGTGTGTCCGAGCCCAGGGCAGCTCCGGGCATTTCCCCTCAGGGTGTGTCCGAGCCCAGGGCAGCTCCGGGCATTTCCCCTCAGGCAGCCCGAGCCCAGGGCAGCTCCGGGCATTTCCCCTCAGGCAGCCCGAGCCCAGGGCAGCTCCGGGCATTTCCCTCAGGGTGTGCCCGAGCCCAGGGCAGCTCCGGGCATTTCCCTCAGGGTGTGTCCCCAGCCCAGGGCAGCTCCGGGCATCTCCCCTCAGGGTGTGCCCGAGCCCAGGGCAGCTCCGGGCATCTCCCCTCAGGGTGTTCCCGAGCCCAGGGCAGCTCCGGGCATTTCCCCGCGGGCAGCCCGAGCCCAGGGCAGCTCCGGGCATCTCCCCTCAGGGTGTTCCCGAGCCCAGGGCAGCTCCGGGCATCTCCCCTCAGGCAGCCCGAGCCCAGGGCAGCTCCGGGCATCTCCCCGCGGGCAGCCCGAGCCCAGGGCAGCTCCGGGCATCTCCCCGCGGGCAGCTCTCGCTCTGAGCCCGCCGTGAGGGGGAAGCGGCTGGAGTTCGGCACGGGCTGGATGAGGCTCAGGTCCGAGGCACCTCACAGCAGCACCACAGCGCAGTGAGGCACTTACCCTGTTCCCCGAGGTGACACAGGGCGCTGGGTGCCCTGGGGACCGAGGGACACTCCCTCGGGTGGTGCCACTGTGCCCCGGGAGCGGCGTTCCGGGCAGAGGAGGCACCGCAGCCCAGGGCAGCGGCTCCATGGCTATCCAGAGTCACACCAAACCCCTCTCCAGGCCCGAGTCAGCGGAGGATCAGGAGCTGAGCTCGCCAGCTCTCAGGGACCTTGCTCGAGTATATGCAGTGTGGGCAGAAAGACACTCAAACACGGCACTGAGGCAAGCAGGGGACAGCAGAAGTGCACCACGCTGCTGGTGGCCTCACCCAGGAAAGGTAACAGTCCCTGCCTCCAACCTGCACATCCCGTGGGACACATGAGCCTCCAGCACTGGCGTTAGGAGCCAGCCCTGCTCACACAGCACAGACCTGCACCACACACGGCTCGTACTCACCACAGGAAACACAGCAGGGGAAAATCACTGGAGAAAGAAATCCCCTCCTGCCACAGGCAGTGCTTGGTAAATCTGCTGCGAAGCACAGCAAACCCATCAGCTGAGACAGGTCTGCTGGGATGCTGGCTCCACGGCTGAGCTGTGCAAGGAGCTGCTTCTCCTGGCTCCCCCTGCCCCTTTCCACATCACCCCTCTCCTCTGGGCTCCTTGCCCCCTGCTCCCGCTCAGCCCTGGGTCCCATTTGTCTCCATCACTGGTGGCTGCAGGCTCCTCTCCCTGCCTGCTCCTTGCATACATCATCTGCCTCCTCTCCAGGCAGCTCCCTCCTTCCACAGCTCCCCTCCCTTTTCAAGAAACTGCCTTAGCAACTGGCAGCAGGCCAGCAAGATCATGGGTTTTCCCTCCCACCTTTCCTTCTCCTCCAAAGAACGAGGTGGCCAGGAGGGGGAAGGAGCCCTAAGGCCTCATGTGCAGCAGCCACAGGGGTTCTGTGTAGCTGGGCTCACCTACTGACTTCCACATCTCATCCTCAGTGTGCTCTGGGGTCAGGAGCAGGGAGGGCTTCTTTTAGTCCTCAGTCTCTTTTTTTTTTCAACCAACATGTCCCCAGAACCCAGCTGATTCCCCCCCAACCACCTCCAGATCAAGAGACCTGCCAGGGGAAGGCACAGAAGGAACAGCTTCCAAATAGCCCATTTCTGCCAGGACTTCCTTCCATTCTTTTGGCCCTGCCTTCCCCACCTCATGCTACTCTCCCTGGACTATTTCCTCTCCTGTTTCTTCTCCTTTTCCCCCTATTCTCTGGGCTTCTTTCCCCTCACCCTGTTCCTCCCCTTGCATTCTCTCCTTCACGCAGTTTAGCCCTCCATACTTGCCCCTTTCCTGGTGCAAGCAGGGATGTCATGGATTGTGCGCTTGTGCCAAGCTCTGCATTTATTAGAGAGGGGGAGGAAAAAGAGAAAAAAAAAAGCCTCAACCCCTGGAAGCTTCCTAGAAGACAACACTCAGGTAGGGTAACATCGCTCTCGCTTTCCTTGCACGCTGCCTTACTGTCTGCATGGGGGAAGGATTATTTGGGCTGCTCCAAAGGGACTTTACTGCCTGGCTTGCAATGCTTTGGCAGAGCTAATTTGGCTAATTTGGCTGCTGGGGTGGGAGCACAGAGGGATGAAACCCCCTTCCCCCTGCCCTGACAGCAGAAAAAGGCAGCTACCCCCACCCTTTCCCCGCCTGCCAAGGTTTAATATCGTGGCAGCCAAAGTGGCACCTTACTTCAACCAAAGGTTTCCACCTAAATCCTTCAAAAGTGTCACACAAAGTGCTCTGCACTTCTGATAAAAAAAAAAAAAAAAAAAAAAAAAAAATTAAATCACCTCTGCCACTCAATTTAGGTTATTAAAAAGCCTCAACTTAGTGGGTTAGGGATCACCAGCACACCCAGACTCACCTGCAGAGAGGAGCACAATGATTTGTACACCTGTGCTGTGTCACAGGGGCTCTGGGGATGGCAGCCACAGCACAGCCCCAAAACCAGACACTGCAGGAGCAAAGCAAAGGCCAAAACGTGCCCAGTGAATCATCCACTACGAATTGGTTCAACCAGTCTGGAGTCCCACACACCAAAGCAAGGACAGCCCAGGACTGTGTCATCCCAGGCACAGGAGTGGGGAAAAAGGGAGAGAAACACGCTGGGCAGGAGGGACAACTCTTCGATGTGGCCCTGGGGATGAGCCTGGAAAGGTGGCAAGTCCCAGCTTGCTCCCTCCTGCCAGAAATCCTATTCCTGCCTCCCCTGCCACGCCCTGTGCTCCTGAGGTGACCTTCCTCCCAGCTCAGCCAGCACCAGCTGCTCCCAGGCAGGTCCCCGTGGGGAGCAGAGGTGCAGGGGATGAGGGGAAGGAGAAGGGCTCCAAGGGCTGGGACCTGCCAAACAGAGCATCCCTTCAAAGGGATGGGAGGAAAACCAACCTTCCCACAGTCCATGGGCTGCTCCTGGGGGATGGCAAATCCACCTGGCTCTAACTTCATTCCACACCTGGGGCAGGGTAAGTGCTCTCTGAAGTTGTGGGTGAAAAAGATGTAATTTAAAAATAAAGAATAATCCTCTCCAAGACATCTGGCCAGGCTCAGAGCAGGCACGGTGGCTCCAGCCTGGCTTTGGCACCACTCTGGGTGCCAGAAGGCGCCCAGCTGGCTGGGAAG